TTTATGGTCAAACTTGGTATCAAATGAAAGGAAATTCTTTATAGAATACATTTGTGATATAATCTCAGTTTTGATAAGGTACCACTGTCACAACTTTGAGAAGCCATATCTCTAATTGATAATTCTCGCAGATAGCCTGGTTTTCTCATATTGGGTCACAAATGATGAAATGGATAGACTAAGGAACCATAGATTATAAATGATGATGTGTCTTCTGGGATAGTCAAGAGAAAATATACTAATACAAATTAAAACCACAAAAGTGTTGTGGTCGATATTATATTATAATATGTAACTCTTGACTCTATTCATAGTATTGGAATGGAGATTGGGGATGGATGGTGGGCCCAGAAGTAAAATCTCACTCTTGCTTTAAGTATTAAGTGAAGATACCATTAATAAAATCCATCTCTTTAGAGTGGATAATATATTTGAATAATTTAAAGGGTAACTGCACCCAAAAAATTTTTTCCCTGAAATAAGTTAGTACACTGTAAAAAAATTAGTGTTATGAACACACTTTGGAGATAACACACCTGCAGTGTGTCAGCACACTTTTGTATTGGGTGTGCTTTCCACGCTCAATTTAGAGTTGACTCTTAAATTATTAATCGATCATTATTAACTCAAAGACTCAATAATATGATATTTTAAAGGTACAAAAAATTTTGAATTGCATTCATATAAGCCAAGAGGATGATAATCATATAAGTCATCAATGTTACAAAATGATGTGACAGAAGGAAATTGATAAGTAACTTCATATGAGTGATTGTGATGGCAAAAACACTCTGTTTCCAATACATTACATGTAAAATAATAAATACTATCGTAAATAACAATGTCTTTAATCAAACCAAAGCATGGAAGAAGATCAGATGATAGTACAACAATGTCTCCAATTTTGTATTGGTATCCCATCTCTATCCAAGGTGTTCTAAAATTAAGAATTAATAGGCAATGAGGATTGTGATAGATTATGATTCTAATCAATTTTAGTAATCATGCATGCTTAACAACAATGTATTCATTGTCATTATAGACAAGATATTTATAGACTCGCCACACTTGCGTAGATGGGTATAATAAGCAATAATTTCACCATTATAAGTACTGAATTTTTAAGGGATAATTTTTGTTTTGATTGGTAATAAGATCATAATGACCAATGAACATTATGCTTATGTTCAAAATACTGCACACACAAGATGCATTCTGTGAATCACTTCATTCTTACCTATAAACTTGAGAAATATCAGTCGTAGATGGCAAGAATGTTTTAAAATGATGGCCATACTCCCAGTTTGATATAGTTATAGGTGAACCTATATGTACATGTACATGTTGTGTCTCAAAAAGAATAATTCATTCTGTAATCTAACTTACTTGGACCAGTTGTTATAAAATTAGAATTAGAATGGCAATAATAACAAATCCACATTTGGTGTCTCTGTGCTAAGCTCTTTGGTACATTCTTAAAGTTTTTGATGCGCCTTGACAAATCCTTAAAAAAACTGTGCTTGCCTTCATACCTCATACACCAATAACGTATTGGTGGCCCATACCTACAAGTATTAAGAATTTTAAAATTATTATAATCATAACAACAAAATAATAACCTAACAATCCACTGAGGAATATGAATAAGGTAATGCTGCTTAGGTATGATGGGACTGGTTGGATACAGTTCTTTGAACTGAAGTAAATGATCTTCAATTACATGTGCTAGGTAAGACGCCTTTCCGTTTGTGAGTGTTGGAGCAAACACATAGTCTGTAGCAGAGAGTAAAAGAAGAAAGTTGTCCCAGTGACTTTCATTCATTGGTACCAGATCATGAATTATCAAAGGAAGGAGTCTTGCCAAACACCAAAGTTGACTTGCTATTATAATGAACAGAATATTATATTTATTAAATATTATATTATAATAAAAATAGATGATATATTATCATTGTTTTTCTGGATGAGACACTAGCAAAAGTAATAAACATAGCCCATATCATACTAATAATGGATACAAAAATTAAAGTTCCAAATTTCTATGACAAATGAACTGTAATACTTTATTACTACATGTATACTGTATATACAATCATAATTCTTTCTACAAAATTTTTACCTTTATTACGTTTACTTACATAATTGAAAAAATCAGTAACAAAGTAACATTGTATGGCTTCAATCCCATGTACATGTAACTTATAGAAATTAATTTACTTGATAAAGAAATAAAATATACTTAAATACCTGTTTGCTTAAGGGAGTGATCTGAAGAAGTAAGAATGTTAGAGGAAATAGGTGCAGGTTTGTTTTTACTGTCACAAGAAGCATATTTAAAAAAATCAATTCTACTGTTAATTTGCTCCAGCGATACAATCCCTACAGTAATGAAGTACTTCAAAAGCTCCTTTACCACATACTGGAGAGAACCCTCCAAAATGTCGTGCATGATGTCTGGACAAAGGCCTTCTGTGACATGAAAGTACTTTGAACTATTCAAAATGGAGTCTTCCGTAAGGCCATATGTTGTTGCTACATGATTATAATTTGATCCCAAAAGAAGTGAACAGTGATAAGCATGAGTTTGCCGGTCACGCTCTACAAAGTCTGTAGCAATGAACTATAATAATCATAAAAATACAATTTAATAAAGTTTTTACTTTATTGTTCATGTCTTCACGAACAGCAAGACAAAACCGACACTTTCTAAAGGCACTGGACAATGACTTATAACCTCCAACAAAATGTGCAGCAAGATTATCAGTAGACTGACATCAGCAAAATTGTACCATAATATTTCTTCATTTCTCCAGCTACTGTTAGAAAGATACCCTAGAAAACCATCATTCATAAGAATTTAAAAAATGTAAATAATACATGTACCTCTTCAAGTTTTCGTATATCATTCATAAACTGTTCCAGAACTTTGTTTAATCCATACTTTATCAAATTAGAGGACTTAGTAATGGTTACTAACTGAATAGAAGTCATTTTTGAACGGTATTTTGGATGAATATTGCCTAAGGTATAGTAGAATATAGCTGTGACAAAAATATTTCAACTGTAAAATTTTACTAATTACCTAATTTGTGTTTCTTTGTTGGTGAGGACAGAGGGTTACACACTTCCAAATCATCATAGTACAACAAAATTTGCAATGAATTAATATCATCACGTGAAAATAAAGGGTGAGTTTTGAAGCGTTCACCATCACAGATGTCTGAGAGAAGTCCATCAGATCTCTGATTACTCTATACAATAAAATAAAAATACCACATTAATTAGTATGAATATTAAATGTACCTGAGTAATAGCAGACATCATTGTCAAAAGTTGTTGCAAAGACTGAAAAAAAGGGATGTCATAAGCTACTTCATTTTGACGCTTTAAAGATCCATTCTTTCCCAAAGCAAATTTATGTCCCAGTATTTGTTCTGTAGGCTCCTATGAAATTGAAAATTATTATCAGTTTATTGTTTTCTTACCACTAATCCAAGATGATCAACAAAAAACTTATTCTGTAAAAAAGCTGAGTGCAACCCACTGAAAAGAGATTTAGACTGTGATTGAGCAAATATAGAATTAACTAAATGTAGCACGTTAATTGGTATACATTTTCCTGAAGAAAACTGGTCTGAATTTTTTCCCTTACTGATTCCAATTCAGTTTGAGATATCAACTGAATGTCATCAACAAGCTCATCAAGTGCTGTTTGAGATATTTTCAAACACTCCCTTGCCTTCAACAGGAACAAAGCTGCTTTGTGCTTACTAATAGTATCATGGTAAAGTGGCACAGAAATAGTAGATGTTGTGGATTCATCAAGAGGGCCACTGAGATCTTCAACACTACCTGAAATTGTTGAAGATGTTTCAACTGCAACATCACCGCTGTTTGACAAGTCTTTTGCTTGCAAAAATGACTGCTGATGAATGATATGCTTGTGGTGACGTAAAATGTGCCTCCTATAGGATCTGTACTTCTTAAAACTTCTAGAGCAGCCCTCTAAACCACACGTAACCTCAAAATCTGCTTTAAATGCATGTACTAATCCAATGTGACGAAGAACAGACAGGTAGTTTTTAGAAGCAAATTCTTTACACCTAGTACACTGAAAATGCTCTCTACTCTCCATTTTAGTTGTGTGTGGCCTAACCCTAACAGTTATCACCATGGTGATCAATATGATGATCACGTGCACCTATTTTACACCTCGTGGCCTCATTTGAGAAAATGGCGAAGGTAGTCCTGGTGTCTTACCTCGATCGCAACAAAGTTTTACGGATACCTCACAACAAACCTTCTCACAGAACTGATCTTGAATTCCTGGAAGACTCATTTAGAAGTTCTTTTTCATTTCAGAAGAACGTGAAACTCTGTGTTACGTTTCAGCGATATGACAATGATTGGGGAGAATATGTCGATATGGAGCCTTTTGAATTGGTAGAGAATAGAAAAAAACTAAAGGCTGTTGTCTCCCCTTTATTGGAAGATCCAAGTACTAACAGCTCGCTGTCTGTGGTATCACCTTTGACACCATCTAGTGATCAAGCTTCATCGTCACGCGATACGGACAGCACCTCAAACAGCACTCATGTCAGCCTGCAGGGTGACTTGACTATTGACTGCAGTGTTGAGAATGGTAAACAAACCCCTTTAAGTAGCTGCAAGCATAAAAGTTCCAGAAGTAAATCAATTTTGGATGATTTTGAAGATAATGAAGAAATATCAAGGGGCATAAAGAAGAAATGTAGAAAATTAGTGCTAGGGGATTCTGATGATAGCTCTATAGAGGAGATTGAAAAGTCTGAAGAAAATAATGATAGTATGCCTGTCGTGAAAGTTGAACCAAGTGTTGCTAAGTTTAAGGTACAAAAGGATAAAGATGTTTTATTGCCCGACCCATTTCCTCTTCCTAAACGTGTTACACCACGAGTAGATGCAGCTGTAAGCTCTGGTGAAGTTGATCGCTTAGCTCGAAATAGTCTTCTCTCTAGCGTGGCTCACTCTATTTATCAAATTAAAGCTTATCCATCCGAAGCTGATTTTATCAATGTATCAAAGGAGATCATGAAGAACTACCCTACATTTTTTCTTTCACAAGTAAGCTACTTTATGTACAGTACTGTAATTCCTAACAATTGATGCTGATGCATGTTTTCTATTCGAAATTCAAGGCATGTATACCGGTATGTATAAATGGGTGCATTTTTGGTATAAATGGTGCGGTATGTATAAATGGGTGCAGTTTTGTTACTCCTAATTTTGAAAATCAGACAATTTTTGAAAAATACCATGGACTGTAGCTTTGCTTTTTTTTTCCTGAAAAAGACTCCAAAATTGCTCCCAATTTTTATTACATTTTCTGATAAATAATTATGTTTCTCAAATTATAATTTTGTAACATTTGGCTGTTTTTATATTCTTATTTTTGTGGATTTTATTGTTATTAATTTTCCAATGTTATTTTGATAATTTAAGGTACTTAAAGGTCATGTATCATGATAATTACGTATTATGTTTGTTGTTTTATTTTGGTTATTTTTTAGTATAATAAAAATAAATATAATTATTAATGATGAAGATGATAATGATACCTAATGCCAATAATAATAACAATGTTTGAATTACATAGGGTGCTTTAATTGAGCTGCTCAAAGAGAGAATGATGCAGATAAGACGTCCTCCAATACTACGCACTCCAAAAGAGAAAGGAAGTACTTCATCAAAGGCACTGAAAGGAGGAAGATCACCTGGCTCAATTGATTCTTTAAAAGCTCCACCAGTCCCTTTAGGTGAAGATGAGCATTCCTTTGAGAGACACAATCGAGTGTTGAAGTCACAATATTCAAAATCCCACCCAAACCAGCAGATTGTGACTGAACTAATGCGCATAACATTTGCAATGAGAAGGGCTGATATTCTCAATTGCCCCTGTGATGTCAAGACAATATTTGAAAAATATCCATTTCTACAGACAGAACATGTGAGTATTAATTTATTATTATTAATAAATGATGAGTTTTTTTAGCTTATTAATGACTTCACTCTGTTGGTTGGGTCATCTATTCATCTTGAGAAAGACATCACTATAGAAGATTATTTTGCATCCAGTTTTTCTTCATTTATTCCTAAAATTTTTTCGCTAGCAGCAATTGAATCAAAAGGGAGAAAGCTCTTTAACTCTGTTTATCATGATTTATGCCAAAAAGGTATCCATTTTATGAATTTTGACATTAATTAATACTTCTATAGATACTTCAGTGGAGTCTAAACTATTAATTGCTTTGTATTTTCTTGTGTACCTTCTTCCTGATGCTCAGGCTAAAGTGAACCCTTCTCTTCTACTACTTTTCTCTGAGGTTAGTAATTTGTATACAAGCACTGACTACATGTAATACCATCATAAAGCTTTGATTTTATTATGTTGCATGTAAAGTAAAATTAAAATGGAGTTGACATTAACATAACATTTAAGCATCCAAAACAATTTATAATAATGTTCTTTTACAAATACATGTAGGGAGCTTTGGATGTTGAAAAAGTTGCTGCAGATTCTAGAAATAAGCATCCATTCATCATCATTCTTGGTTCCATGAACAAGCCTGAACAATTCTTTCTTATTGTAGATAAAGTTGTTGTCAGGGAAGTAGAAGCTACTTCAATTTTGATCAACCTCCTCTCTGCCTATTATGTATATAATGTTTGTTATCCTCAAGGTCTGATCAATTTCTTCACTTTTTTGGAGATCATGCTACTGAAGATCAAGCCAAAGAAAGTTGCTCCTTGTGTATCATTAATTGTTGGACATTTTGATGCAAAGTGACTGTTATTTGATGTTTCATTCATATAATCTCATTTTTTGATAAAAGGTTGTTACCACACCTTGTAGCTGTGTGCTTGCAACACCTACAGCAATATAGAGTATATTGCACACCATAAGTGGTGTGCTATATGAGACAAGAGAAACACACCCTATATGGTGTGAAAATAACACTTTATTTTTTAGAGTGTACATGTACATGTACATGCATATAGGCTAAATATAATAGAAAAATGGGATATTTCAAGAGACCAAATGAGAGACTGAGCTCTCTTTAGATCTAACAGTGAGAGAATGACCATACACTGTACCTTAGCAATGCTAGGACGACAGAAACAAGTAGCATAATGTAAAGATGATGACTTTAAGCCACGATTAACATAAGCACCATTCTCCAGCAAATATTCAACCTACATGTACAATATTACAAATAACATTAATCATTATACATGAGCTATAAGCCAGTGACTCATTCTTACCATTTGAAGTGTAACAAATGCTGATGCCCAATTCAATAGAGTTTTACCAACATCATCCATATGATTAATATCATTACCTAAATCATTAATAACTATCAATGCATTGTTAATCATAGAATTTTAAAGAGCAATAGGGCATGTGCTTATCACTGTAATGCACGTACCACTGTCCATAGCTTCAAAAATTCTCTGTTTCCAGCAAGAATAGCTTCAATGACATGTCTGTTGGAAGCATCTCCAGGGAAGCACTCAATCTGCCTCGATGCTAATGGCTAGAGGTTCTTTGGTAGAGCTTTCCTTCTTTCACATAATAATAGTAACATTAGCTCAATCAGATGCAGGACATCAAGGACACATCTAGAAAATATAATATATAATAATAAACAGGAATTGCAGTCCATATATCTATTACAACAATTTAGCAATGACTTCAACCAAGAGAATTACAATGGACACTACTCTTAGTACTCTAGTGTCTAGTTATGACCTAACTGAATTGATATGTTCCTTACATAATTATACTTCCTATACAATTATACACAAACTAAAGGTACACCTGTTGGGATCAACAGCATTTCATGACTGTATAAGGTCTGTGTACGCTTGTACATGTACTTTGAACAATGTATCATAGTAGATGATAGTACCCATCATCTCCTGTAACTGCTTGCTTCATACTGTCAGGTAAATTAGATCTTAATTAGTACAGCCTATATTAATGATGAAAGATTAATGTCACTATAAATGAGAGGCTTTAATTCAATAACAAAAAAAAGAAATATACTGTCCCCGGACACTCTTTCTGGCAATAACAATATCTTCGTACCCTTTGACACAAATTCGGCACTCTACTTTCACATCTAAAGAAAAAGGTTATGTCAATTTACATGTAAGTCTTCCTTTTAATGCTGAAAAGGTAAACATACTTAGTATAGTTACAATTATAGTTGGGCTTTAAGTATAGTCACCTACATATTACAAAAGGGAAGCCAAACACAATAGATTCCTATCGTATTACTTGTCTAAAATCAATGAGATTGGAAAAGGTACTTAAAGAGGGAAATATTCACCATACTACAATTCCTGACTTATTTTATGTGACTAAACAGTTGTTGGCTTCAAATACTTTGCAAGAAAGAAATTAAACTTGGAATTGTTTGGTAGTGTCGGCTTTATGATATGTGAAACCTTAGAGTCTCAAGACCTTCCATTGCCAAGTTTGAGCCAAATAATTCAATTTTGTTCCCCACCTTACCTTACAGCTCCAGCATCCTTAAATAAAAACACAAGACTGAAATTCATCTATGTATAACAATAAAAAATAACAAAGTAAAATAAAGAAACGTAAGCTTCAATAACACTCATGCCAGCTTGCTTCAATTAAGCTACGTGACACTTTAATCATAGTAATGGACTTAAACTTCTTCAAGTATCACATTTTATAGATAAATAAGAGTCTGCATACACTTTACAAACAAACAATACGAGCATGCAAGTACCTTTGCCTTTACTAGAAAAGTAAGGTTTAGCGATATGAAGTAGAGGAGTAGCTTTTCCTACCTGTTGCCATATCTATGCTGTAGCTGACTTAGAAGCAGGTATTATGTTTATTGGTCTGCTAACTGGATTCACTGAGGTTTTTGAGTCTATTGCAGACTGGCACCAGACTCTTATTCGGTAAATTAGAGTCTGGCTATGCGAGACTAGTGATAACACTGAAAGGAATGCAATTAAAATTTCAATTTTTGCTCAAAGTTCAACATCCATAAAAATTTATGTATGCAGTACACTGGCTTCCTTTCTTTAAAGGAACAGTGTATAGTAGCCATGCGCATGCTTACTGTGGCTGTCAGCAACTGCGCATGCGCAGTTTGAAGGAGTGAAGGAAGTCAT